GAGTTAACAGCTGACATAACAGTAACGTTATTCTCTATGTCTACAATTCTCTACCTTTAAGAGGAACTTAAGGCAAGTCGACCTTATTTTCCAGAATAGGTGTCTTGTTTTCTTCCTTGTCAACAAGGCTTCTATTAATTTCTTATAAGAAATGAAGAATTAATACATTTTCCGGGGATAAGAATAACTGCTCAAATGTTAGACTCTAGAATTTTAATAGAGATATTGGTTCAAGAAACCCATCACTGAAGGAAAACTGCAGAATTCCCCAGGAGCCAAGCAAAGTGCACGCAACAATAAAAACTCAGTTTTATAAAACTGTAACATTATGGTATAAACTAAAAATGTAACTTGAGTCACATTCATCTATACAAATCACTGTAGTAGTGTTTCAATCAACCACAGAACCATGTGCTTTGCCTTTTTTTTTTTTCCTTCCCCCTTTGGTTAATTAGTATTTGGCACTTTCCTTGGTCTTTTATTCAGGACACTGTTATGAGTAAAACAATCTACTAGAATAACCTCACTATTGAAATGATCACACTAATCCATCTGAAAACTTCTGTTTCTAAAAAAGTTAATGATTTTGAATTAGTCTCACATTTGACAATTGCTCCATTGTTATTTTCTTGTTTATTTAATCTGGAAGGTTTGAATTTGGCACTGTAAGATCTATATTTGTTTAAACAGTAGTGGATGAATACCTCTGTATGAAAGCCCTTCATAAATTCACAACAGGCCCCTTAGTTCTTCTCTTCTTCATGTATATGTATACTTACGGTTAAATTAATTTTAATGCTTGCAGAAAGAACAAGTTATTTTTCTTGCTCCTTTGAATTCAAATGGGTCAGCAATTTGACAACTACATTTAACAGGAATTTGCTGTTATCTGTGACTTCAAAGGGGTTTTTACCTGTCAGTAAGAATCTAGTATTCAGACTGTCGCAAGCCATGTGTCATTTGCAGATGCATGTATTACCTAACCAATGCACTAGAGTGATTATCAGTATTGATGTATTATTATTTCTATAAAAATATATCCTTGGACGAATCTACATACTGATTATGTTAATTCAAAACTCTAACACCACAATACCGATTTCTCAGGAGGAAACTTCAGCAGTATCTACTTTCCCAGGAAAAAAAAAAAAAAATCTTAAGAAGTGTATATTTTTCACATATATTTGTCAAAAAGACTAAGAAGAGTTGTAAGTATAAATACGTAGAATAAAATACACTCAATCAGGAAGCATGATTTTTTTTTTTTAACCAACTAGAAAACTACCAGAAAGAAGAACTCAACTTCAGAGAAATTCCAAAGCAGAAGCTAGATAATGTGAAGTCGTATAGATTTCCAGCCTGACTAGTGACAGCTGAGCACAACATACTGCAGTTCCCAAAATATAAAAGGAGAAATTATCTGAAATGGTACTTAACAGCATATCTAGCTATATGAAGAAAGGTGTACAAATCTGTGGTTCTTATTTATTTTATTTATTTATGACCACCCAGTAACTGGAAGGAGGAAAATAAACACATGGAGTTTGGGCAAAATTTGTGTCAAAGAGAAGGTGGCAGAGGAAAACCCTAACATCACAGTCTAATAAAACACACAGAAATGAATTCAGACATGTGAAGTTAGGTAGCTAGTGCTACTCTACATATCACACAGTAACTTCTGGGTTTCATCTGCTGCTCCACTTTTACCTTCACAGAGTCTTCAGTTTTAGCACAGAGATTAAATGCAGCTTTTAAGCTTACATTTAGAACATATCCTAAAAAATTAAATGTGCATGTATTTACATACATACACTTCTCTTTTATTGGAGGTGAAGTAGTTCTAAACTTTGCAGTCTGTTTAGTATGATTGGACCTGTTCTGCTCACTCCAGTGAAAGATGGTGTTCAGGAAATGCCTCTGCACAAACTACTATTTAACTACCATTTAAGCTATTGAATATTTCTCCAAAATGTTCCTGAAGGCCTCTGTACTGAGCTTGGAGGACCAGCTCCTCACCCGTAGACATGGTAGAAGAAACTATACCTGTTACATACATACATACATACATATATATATATATAAACTGCGTGTATAGCTGTCTGCATGTGTATGTTGAAAAACTACTTGTCATTAATATTATGTATATGTTCTTATCATAAGATGCTTCAAGTCACAAAGACCTTCATTCAAATTAGCTGCACCTTACTGCATTCTGCTGTCAGAATGGCAAATCACTCCACTAAGAGACGATGTGTAATTGCATTATAAAGGGGACATATGGTCAACACTTAAATACTATCAGAACCACCCAATTCTGCAAAACCTGTTTAAAACAAAACAAAAACAAACAAACAAAAACAAACAAACAAACAAAAAAAACACTTTAAAACATTGTTGGATAGTTGAGATCCTGAGATGTAGCTGCAGTGATGAGTTAAAAGGCATTAGCTGGAATAGTCCAAATGGTAACAACTACCTAACATATAGTAATATGCACTAGACTTGAGAGCAAAGTCAGATCTTTATAAATTAGTTACAAAACGTTGATTCCAAAGACATGTAAGATGACAAGACAGCATTTAGTGACTAAGACAATTATCAGCCAATTTCTTTTTTAAAATACCAGCGTTATAGGAATAAAAGGTGAAGAATGACAAAAAAAAGCTCCAATAAGGCATTACTACTAAGGTTTTGTCTACACAATGCGACACAGGAAAATCAACCCAAATTAATTTAACTGGATTTGTCCAAGTCCATTAAATTCTTTTGCAAACATTTCCATCTGGGAATAAAAATGGGGCCTTAATTTGGTTTGGCTCATCTTGCCTTTGAAGTGGATTAAACTAAATTCACTAGAGGCCACTTTAATAATGAATGGGAGAGTGCACACAGACACTTGGTGGGATTTAAGCTGTCCTCCTTACATTCCTACATTTAGTTGACTTGCATCAATTCTCCTTGGTATCTTGTGTAGATGAGCCCTGAACCAATACATTTGACACAGAAGTGGAAAAATAGACAATGCAGGAAACTGTGCTGAAGAATCCTCAGTCAACACAATGACCTCCCCGTGGGAAGCAGCAAAGTACTATTATCCAAGAGAAGAGAAAGACTGTTCACTTTCAGAAATACTATTTAAAACATCTACTACTCGTTTATTTATTTGAATTCTTTGAAGCTACAGCTACTGATAAAGGACTCCACTAAATCATCATTTGAGAATTATTTAAGAATTAGAGGTTAGGACCTTATATTTTAGGCTAAGATAAAAGAATGTAGAAAAGAAAGACTGAAAAGATCATGCTGTGCTTAAAAGCTGTGCGATGCTCCCACTGAAAAATCATCATTGAAAGCTAGAAACACTCAATACATTAAAGTACCAGACTCCCCTTAAACCACGGCCAGTCACTGACAGCAAGGGCCCCGAGAGGTGCTCCATCTGCACCGTGCCACTGCTGACAGCCTGGCCAAAAGCACAGCACCAGCCCCATGCCAGATGCGCGCGCAGGGGAATTAATGCACCTGCTCAGGCAGTGTTCCTGCCCCTCCGTTCTGCAGGAACACTTTTACAATTTTTTCACAAAGCCTCAGAAGCATTTAGTAACACTATGGTGTTATAAATGATTATATTCTCAGAGAGAAAAACCATCACAGATAAATGTTAATGGAAACAGGTCTAGAACTGAAATAAACCAACAAGCAGGAAACAGAACCTTTCCAGGTAAGGATCCTCCACATCCCTCCATCAGTATTTTTTCAGGATAAAACAACTGCATTGCTGTAATGTTTTTGTATTCATGTAGATAAACAGATAAAGAGCCTGAACATAAGACAGTTACGGCATCTCCCTTACTATACTCACACGTCCTCACGATGTCCTAATTGTATTCTGTTAGAAAGCAGCAGTGCAAGAGATAAATGTAATGCCACTGATAAAATGGAATGTCACTAAAACAGAGCTCCATTTTAAGTCAAATTCAAGTATCAATTATTCTTTTATATGAGAGTGATAAAGAAGTAGGAAGCACATTGCACTGTTGTAGAAATACAATTTGAGGCCTCTTATTAAATGCACAATTTCATTAAGTAACCTCTTCTACTAGAATGCATCTCTACAGAATATAAGGAATTAGAACACTGTAGATTTTCTCCTCATTTTGATTTTTTTCCGTTATTTTTGCCTTACACATTTTACCTGATGCTGCTACAAAAAAAAAAATACTGTTTTCAAATACTGAATGTATTCCTCTAGATTTCATCCTTCTTTCAGATAAAGAAGGTATGCTGGCCAAAGCTCTAACTGCACCATTTTCTCTAACGTATACATACTACATGCTCTGCAAGTACTCTGCATGCATACAATTTACTTCAGTACGTGGGGTAAAAAAAAAAAAAAAAAAAAAAAGGCAAGATACCCAAATAATCATTATTGGAAATAACATGCAGTTTCTTTAATTTTAGTTTTTATTTTTTAAGTTCACATTGCATTAAAAATGCAACACTTAGGCCTATAGGCACCATGAAATGCAAGCAGCTCAAAAACCAACACAATGAAAAACAGCATAAACACTTGCTGTTTCTTATATTTTGAGTTAAATAGCCCACTATTTCTACATTGTGAATTCTAAAATTGTCATAGCAACGTGAATCTGAGTCTTCATTTACAATGCAGATAATCTTTTCGATTGTGTTATTCATGCATAACCCCATATTGTCTGATTTGCTACATACTGCAGTAAACTTCTACTGGGGCTGCGGGGAGAGGAACAGACTACACAGGTATGACGCACTGGCATGCAGTGGTCAGGAAGTAGCTCAACCTCAACCTCTGCTTTACAGCAAATTATTTCCTCCAATACTTTCATTTAAGAACAAACAGCTGCTGCTGAAAAGCCAGACTGCTAAGATTAGTTCTCTTGTTATGGCTGCTTGTTCTTGAGCCATAAATAGATACACAGCAGATTAGAGCTACCTTTAAGCAAGTTTTTCATTTGACTTACTTTGAACAGACTTTAAATAAGATTTCCTTGAGGCAAGTGTTGGATGGGTGTTATGCTGCTGGTTTTTGGTGAGGAAAATAATCCATTTTTGCCACAGTAGAAGGTATGAATAAGCAAAATTGTGTCCCCTGAGAAATCTGGAAGAAAAAAAAAAAAAGACAAGATATTAATCATTGCATTTATTCTGCACTATTTGAATGATATCTATCACTGTCAAGAACCAACTTTACTTTTGACACCAACAGCCTAATGGATACACTACTATCAATGCAGATAAATTACTGTGTGCAATAGTTTGCATTAAACAGATTGCTTGGACACAACCCCAAAAAAATGAAGAAAAATATGAATTATGAATGTACAAAAATATCCTAATGGCTATGTATAATCCTACATGAAAATGGTAATTCTCACTTAAAAATTCCTCAGTTTATTTTATTAAGATTCAACAAATACAGCTTTGTAACTTTTTTTCCTCTTGTCTGTTGTATTTTTATGCATAGTGATCCAATAAACTGAAAAATGCTCCCCATATTACCACAATTTGATCCGTGAGAAATATATAGAAATGTATACAGCATAGAATTATTAGCTATGAAAAGGTTCAGGCTGTAAAGTAACCTCAGCTGCAATTATTTTTATGGGGACAAATTTAACTCATCTTTGTGTATTTGTTTGGTGCCTGCAATAACTTCCACAGGAAGCTGACAAAGAAAACAAGGAAACACAGATTAAGGATGTTACATAAATATTTCAAAAATCAACCGAGGCCAGATAACCATGTTCTTCATTAAGAATGAATGCTTATAATAATTTTCTCATTTTTTCCCTATTTCTGTCTAATATTGGGAAGTAATCACAGCCAAGGTGCTGAAGAAGCTTCCTCCACTCCGCCTCAGTTCTCTAAGACTCACATGTAATCTTTGCCCTAAACTCAAAAGGGACCTAATGATTCAATTCTTCTGAAACAGGACCAAAACACTTCCTACTATCTTCTCTGTAGCTTAGGACCAGCAGCACAGTTCTGAAAATCTTTTCCACTATCATTGTGTTGCACCTGGATGAGCACCTCCACACAAAGACTCAAGTGTGCAGTCCCTTCCATTAGTTTTGTTTCAAGCATGGGATTTGAAGTAGTTTTAGGAGAATACAAAAGCTACATTGCCTTGGTTCTTAGTTCTAGTGAGGCTAGGCTCATTTAGCATAAGTTCTCTATTTAGAACAAGGCTTATCTACAGTTGTATTGCTGCCAGTTCTTTGCAAGGATAGAATTTAGTTCAAGCAACATGTGAAGGATACACAATGCATAATAATAATAATGAAGCAGTAATGTTTAAGAAGTGTGATTGGTAACAGACCATCTGAAGAAAGATCTGTTTAGAGTAAGGATAGTCACCATCACTACTTAGGTCTTTCTTAAATAGAAATGACAAGTTTCAAAGAACTGATTAGTCTAGCTTGTGACCAACAACCACATGCAGCCACAGTTGCAGTGGATAGATAATCAATAAAAAAAGTCCCTGACAGTTTAAATTAATTTGTTTGAAGGACTGCTAGAACTGACAAAGTCATACCAGAGTTAACTTAAAGAAGTACCTACAGAAGGTGGATTTGCAGTGCCATCTCTGACAACTAACTGTTTCCAGCAAAGCTTCAGGTTTTCTTCACTCTGGCCATTTCTTCAGCTTAAAATGCTGTTGAGGAACCAGCCTTGACAGGAAGAGGGAATGGAGTCTGCCACTGACAGGTGTCTGGCAGCATGTCTGGGTTAACTTCGGTGCCTCTGGTTTCAGTATGATCTGCTCTAACACTGACTGAAACTTCCAGCTGGTGATTAGTAGCCTCTGGGGATGCTAGCAGTGTTAGTCCAGTTAGTATGAAGAGCATATGAAAATTCTACACAGCTGTGAAATATTAGTATAGAAATTACTGGAGAACACGTGCTAAATATATATTTTTGAACCTTGTAAGCGACCTCTCACTCACAATGGGAAGAGGTGAAAACTTTCGTCACTGAAGTACCAAAACAGCAAGGTTGGTCACTTCTCATTTTGTCATGTTATTAAAGATGTCTTTTTTATATTATTATTATTTTAAAAAGGCAAAAGAAGTTCTGTACTATCATAATTCTGTTTTCTTTCACGTTGTTTCTTCATGTTGCAACTTCTTCAGACTTAGGCCTATACATATTCACAAACTATAAATTACACTCCATTATCAAGCAAAAATCCAGTAACATGGCCATTATGAAACTATCTAGTGTTGAAAATGGCTCTTCATCAACATTTTATGAACACATAAAATGCTCTAAACAGCAAGAAAATCATTTTTTCATTTAGTCATATCAATTTGGTAACATTCTAAGTTTTCTCTCACTGCAAGACAGCTACCTCTGCAGTCATAACAATTGTCAACCTCTGCCTTTTAAAGTTTTACTGTAATTCAGACAATTTAAAAAGTAACAATACTCATAATTAACAGGACATTTAGGTTCACCAAGAAAAACTGGAAGCTGATGCATCAAGGAACGTGTTACAAGGAAACACACAAAACAGTAAATAACAACAAAAAAAAGCATTGGCAGCTAACAGATGGTCAAATTTGATTTAAAAAAGGTGCAGCCTAATTTTTTTAGAGCTGTTGAGTATTTCTGAATAACTTCAATGGGATTAGTGGATATTCAGTGTCTCTAAGAAGTAGACCATTAGTTCTAATTGTCATTGTCATCATCACCTATTATTATGTGCTATGAAAAGCAGGACACAGTTGGAGTTAAATATTAGTGTGTGAAACAGGAAATTTAGGAAGCCAGAAAAAAATGGAAATTGCTATTGATTGCAAAATAAGCCTGGAGGTGGGGGAACAAAAACCCTCCACCACACTGAATATTAATGTCTATGGGCAACAGTTAAAGCAAATAAAGGTGCCTGTTTTGTTGCTGTTGTTTTTAACATATGTACCAAGCTCACATATAAAAACAGTGCCTGTAAACTTAAATGAAGAACAGTCTCCCCTGAAAAAAAATAGACTACTAGACAAAAAAGGAGGGGAAAATACAGAAGAATTTGCATTCCCCTTGAGCCTAGTCATCAAACCTGATGACAACGTCACTAAGGAATTAGAACTTGTTCTGCATAGCTTACTGCAAGCTTCAGCACACAAATATCTTTCAGTTCAATCTACTGCAAAATGAATTATTTATATATATATATATATATATATATATATTTTAAACTATCTTAAACGTTTGGCTCCTTTTTACATTAAAAAAGCCCTAGAAAATAAACTGGAATAGATCATCATGCCTTAAAAAAAAAAAAATCAAATCATTGAAGCTATCCACAGTGACATTCTCTTTCACACATTTTATTATTCTTTAAAGACATGGATCAAAACACGTGCTTAGCTGCTGAGCTGAAACTAAATGCATAGCAAAGCTGACTGGGAGTTGTTGCTGTTTATTTTTAGAAAAAAAGGTATTGTCACTTTGGATGATACGCACTGTCATTTCAATAGAAATTCTTCAAAGAAGCACGGCACAAAATTCTTCTTCCCAACTAGCAGGTCTGCTTATTCGGCAGAAAAACAAGGAAGAAAAAGAATTCCATGACTCCTGATTCATAATAAAAAGATGTGGAGGTGGAAAAGGGATGATTTCAAAGATTATCTAATAATTACAGTTACAAGTCAAACAAAGTACAAACAGCTGAGAAGGGGCCAGTGGGGGGGGAAGAGGAAAGCTATTACACGAGGTGGGGAGTTGGTCCCACAATACAGCAGGACTGTTTGTTACAGCAAGTGCTCAAACAGGCAAGACTGTGGATCACAGAGAAGAGGAAAAACAACATTTTGCTACAAACCACGCTCTTCCATCACCTTTAAAAAAGCAACTAATTGGGCTGATCAAAATGGTGGCTGAATGAATGACTGCTCAGAGGACGAGAAGCAGAGAAATGGGATAACTCGTTTCTCTGCTTCATTTTGCAAAAACCTGTTTGAAAAAAAAAATATTTTTGTTGTTTATGTCAGTAAACTTTCTACTAAATCAGTCAGTTTGCCAGACAGTGATCATGTGCAGTATTTCCTTATCTGAGTCAGCTGTTCTTTTATTTACAAATGCTTTGGAAAAAAAACTTTTGATTTTCACTCTGCTGAACCAGTCACTTAACTGCAAGTGTTCTCCATTTCACGACAGACAGAACAAGCTAATTTCTTGGAGCTGCAGTCAGTAGAGAGAAAAGCAAACCTATGGGCATTTCATAATGCTTTAAAATGTAAAAGGTACAGGCTGAATTTTATCTGGTTGGTAATAATTTGTTTTTTCAAGCACTAGCATCAAAGGAGAAATGGTACTGTCAGGAAAATAGGGATGTCACTACCATCAACTACTCACATGTTTAAACTTGGATCTGAACTAAGCTCATACCTCCAGTACTTGGCTTTTAGGTAATATTTTTTTTTTTTAAGTAATGATACAGAGATGAATCTAGTTATATGCAACATAATGCACACCGAGTAATATTTTCTTACATGCAACAGTGATGTTTTCTATGATTAGGAACTCTAAAGACAAGACCCTTCCAATACCATGAACTAAAAATATCACCTTCACAAACAGATTTGATCCAAAAGAGACTGAGCTGCAAAAAAATTCCCTGGCAACTTCCAACAGCCGTGAATCTGACCTGCAATTTATTTTTTTTTACACAGCCTATGTGATTGAATAGGCTGCATATACTCATATCTGTTTGATTAAATTAGACTGTCAGTCTCCTAAAGTAAAGCCATAGCCAAAAGGCACAGAATTAGATAAACAACCTCCAGTAGGGGAGCTGAAAATCTGGCTCTATTTTCTCTGCAATTCAAATGATGGAACGGAAAGCTCTAAGAAGGATGCCCTCAAACAGAATGACATTCGGAGAATTTCTACTACAATTGCCGTTGCTACTTACAGCAAAGCAGTCAACTTTCACATAACACCTTACCTCCTGGAGGCCAGACCCTGTTAGAACATCACCACTGAAAGCTGACCAGGGAAGGCTTCCTGAGCAGCCAGACCTGCTCCAAACCACTTCAAGAATTCACCAAGTGATGGAGTTCCTCACATTTTTCTCTGTCCTTTCTGTGAATACATCTA